CAGCTACAGGGTAACATTCACACCATCTGAATGTTCCAGCTGAAGAAACGAGTCTGCCTCAGAAAATTCCGTTTCCTTATATCAGCATGATGAGGTCAGACTTAAGTGTGGAACAAAAAATATACAAGATGGTACAGGGAGAATAAAACAAAAGAAATATAAATGAGGTAAACTGGGGATTTTCTAAGAGCACATTTTTTGTCGGTTTTTTCTTTTTGTTTGTTTGTTTTTATTTCAATCTCAAAACCAACCAAAGAGAAAGGAAGATGAGATTGTTTTCCTCTCTTCCATCAAAAAACCCAGTGACTGTGCTGGGAGTGAGTGGGAGGAACCCTTTCTCTCACCTCATTCCTAACAGTTCCTAGGCTGCTGCAAGGGAGAAGTGATAAACAGACTGCTCCTGTACAATTCTGTTTTCAGTCCTGACCTCCAGAGACCACCAGGACTTCTCTCACTGGTAGCAGGCACTCCCCAGATTTGGAACAGTTCTCCCCTGCAGCAGCCAGGAGCCCCAAGGCAGGGAGAACGGCTGAGCTGAGGTGTGACACCAACAAGGCTGTGCTGCCAGCTAAAGCTGAACCTTGGGAACAAGGCAGGAAAGCTGCTCAGCAAAACTCGGATTCAACAGCACTGTGCTGCAAGTGCTGAAGGAGGCCTTTAGGGCCAAACCTAATGTCACAAACAACTCTAATAATTGGTTTTGCTGCTTCTTATGCATTCCAGTAAATGTCTTCAGTTTGGGTTAGGTGCATAGGAAAACAAGTAACCAGCCTCTTCATAAAGACACAACATACACAAATAAAAAAATGCATACACAAATAAAAAAGACCTTATTCTGAAATTCAAAATGTTGTTTTTAAACACTGGAAAGTGCATAAGGGTCGTGTGCATTTGCCTTTTCACGTCTCTGAGAGCCTGAACTTATGCTTACAACTCAACTGACAGCATGTTCTTTCAATTAAACCACATTTTTGTCTGGTTTTTACAGACACTAAGTTATTCAATCAAGCTGACACCCAACTTCATAATAAAATTACCTGATTAGAAAACAACAGCCATCACTATTGACTAATCCCAACCAAAAATATGCATCTTAATGTCAACAAATTTAAATGGAGCAAACACATTTAACTGTATTACTAAACAAAGGCAACACAGGGCAACACTAAAAAGACTTTAGCAATCCTGTATTTAACATGTGATTACCTGGGCTCCACACTGAGGAAGTTGGGCAGCTTCACAAAATACAAATCATTACCCAAGTCTGTGTTTACTTTTGGTATTTCTACCTCTATTCTGGTCTCTGGAATAGGCTCTTCTTCCTGCTGCTCTTGACTCAGTCCATTCTCATCCTAATGAAAAAAAAAAAAAACCAGGAGCATAAGTAAAACAAATATATCTGGCTACTGCTGCTCTAATAATTATATTTTGCTTAAAGAAAAGTCATTCATAGACACAGAGAGATCAGGAAGATTTGGATAAAAGAATTCAGGTATGTTCATTGAAAGGAATTCCATTCAGCCTTGTCATGTGGCATTTAAGTGAATTCAAGCACCAGTGCAAACTCAAGGTACCAAAAACAATAAAGAACAGCAAAGGAGCCAACAGAGATCTCAGCTGAGCACTGGAGACTGGGGGACACCTTCTACAAGATTAAAGATGAAAAGATGAAAAACTATCATAAAAATTAAAATATTCCTCAAATAGCTGCAAAAAGGTACCAAAGCTATGGCTTTGTATTTTACTTGCAATACTTTGTATTTTACTTAGCAATCAAACTATTCTTAATATTTTTAAAGTACAAAAAGCAGAGCAGGGATGGGGGAAGGCAGATAAATCTGATATTGTTATATATAAAATTTTAATAATTCTTTCAGCTGGGACAAGATTATCTGTAATGCTACTTAATGTCACCTCTCTTTTTTTTCACTAGAATATTACCCAACTCAACTGGTATTCTGTATTTCAGAGTGGAATGGCATGTTAATTATTTCAAAAGTCAGGTCCACTCACAATGGGCTGTCCCGGGGTTGGTGGCTTGTCTTCTCCATCACTCCCTGAGGAAATGTCATCAGCACCTCCAAACAGATCCATGACGTCTGCATGCTCTTTAGCAGAAAAATTACAATTTTAAACCACACAAATATATGCACACACAGCCCTAATACAAGATTTATTTATCAAATAAGGAAATCAAGTTGAAAAACGGCAACAGAAGAGTATAAGATAATCCTTATTCAAGTAACTGAAGAGAAGTAAATTTCATTAAGCATTTTGGAGGTTTTACTTCTCAGAAAACAAACGCCTCTTCCTCAGCCAGCTAAACCACCACCACAAAACACAGTATAGGTTCCCTGGGCTGCTCTGATTACAGGAACCATTTTCCAATATCTTTCAGTAAAAATGCTTGAAAGAATATTTGCAGAAGAGAAAACTTGAGAGAGCTAACTGCAGGGGATGAGCATGTGCCTCTCACACAGAATTCCTGATGTCTGTTTTGTTATTTCCATGGCAAACGCTGCCAATTCTATTAAACCTGTAGCTGATGAATGGCACGCTCAAGAGAAAGATTAAAGGACCCAAAACCCCACAACCCCCCCACCATTTACCTTTCTGCCCTTCTGTGTCACTCTCTGCTTCTGAGTCTGATGCAATTGGTTTCTTTCGCTTCATTCGCAGAACTTCATCCTCGCTGTCGCTGCCCCTTGCAGACTCTACTAAGGAGCATAATTATTCTCAGCAAATTAAAAATTTTGGTCCACAAATTTTAAAATTCCTCTCTATTAATAAGCTCTAAACGTGCTGCATAAAAGAAAATGCAAAGATGACTACCATTAAAAGCTATGTAATTAATGCCTTTAAATTAAAGTTTCAATCTTTTCAGGCCAATACAAACGAAACAATAAAGAGAGATCAAACCAGCAACAAATAATTATTTCTGTATTCAGTCCTACCAGATTTGTGCTCTTGCTCCTCCTCATCAGAGTGCTGGACCCTTTCCTCATCATCAGAGTTCTGCATCTTCTCCTCGTCAGACCGCTGGGCCCTTTCATCATCATCAGAGTTCTGCATCTTCTCCTCATCTGAGNAAACAATAAAGAGAGATCAAACCAGCAACAAATAACTATTTCTGTATTCAGTCCTACCAGATTTGTGCTCTTGCTCCTCCTCATCAGAGTGCTGGGCCCTTTCCTCATCATCAGAGTTCTGCATTTTCTCTTCATCTGAGTTCTGGAGTCTTTCCTCATCATCAGACACCTGTGGCCTTTCATCTTCATCCGAGTTCTGCACTTTCTCCTCATCATCAGAGTTCTGCTGTCTCTCCTCGTCGTCAGAGTTCTGTTGCCTCTCCTCATCATCTGACTGATCACTTTTGTCCTCCTTGCCCCACTTCTCGTCCTCGGAGTGTGCTTTCTCAGAACCATCTCCCTCTGAATGATGGCTGCCTTCCTCTGAGCCGTGCTCATGGTCATCCTCATCATCGTCGTGCGCAGCCTCGGACGCGCTGTGCTGCTCCCCGTCAGACTGCTCGTTGTCCTCGTGCTCCGAGTGCCCCGAGGCCTCAGAGCGCTGGTACGATCTCTCAGAGTGGTTGTCACTCCCTGAGTGATGGGATGCCCCTTCATCCTCGCTGTCATCTCCAAATAATTCCTTGTTACTGGGTTTTATTGCCTCCCTGTCGTCGTCCTGGTCACTGTCGCTGCCAGAAGCATTGCTCCCAGAACCAGCATTCTCCTGGTCAGAGTCTGAATCAGAGCCAGAATCGGAATCTGCAAAACAAACATCACCCTTTCAAGAGTCAGGATGCCCCTCTGAGTATGCACGTGAGATGATGCGCATTGCTACAATAAAAATCCCGAAAACACAACCCGACCCTCAGGGAGAACCTATAGAGAACTGTAAGCAAGACCAACAAGGTACCGAGAATAGTAAAATAAAACGTCTGCTAATAAAAGCACAGCCAAAGAAAGGCACAATGAAAAATGATGGACGTCCGAAGAAGTTTCAAATCACAAGCTGTTATCTAAGATTCTAAAACTGTAAAAGGGATAAGGAATTACACAGACAAGGATAACAACTGAAATAGTGAGAGCTTAAACAATTAACTATATGGACGCGGCTTATAAGATCCGACAAATCCAAATTTGTCACTCTGTATTTAACCCAAGTCATCTTCCCAGGAAGGTTTATGACAATGAAGCCACTCTTCAGTGCCGAGGCTAGTAAATGCGGTTTCCAGCAGGAAAATAAAAGAACACCTGCCTTGAAAAGTAATTCACAGGAAAGCGGACAAGAATTTTGAAAACGTCAGGGACTTAAACCAGGTGTTCCACGGTGTCCAGAACTCGGCTGCAGCCGAACAACCTCCCGTGCAGGCATGGTGCCCTCGGCCCGCGGCTCCGCGCCGCTCGCCCCGCTACTCGCGCTCGGGGGCCGCGGCAGAGGCGAGGCGAGGCGGGCGGCGCGGCCCGCGGCGGGAGCACCACGGGCGGAGGGAGGGAGGGAGAGGGAGATAGAGAGAGGAAGCGCCCCAGACCTTTGTGCTCGGGCTCCGAGTCCGCGTCGCTGCCGAACAGATCCGCCATGTCGGCCATGGCGGCAGCGCGGCCCCGCCGGCGCCGCGCAGTGACGTCACAGCGAGCGCCGCCCGCGGGAGCCGCGCGCAGCCCGACGGGGGCCACCTCCTCTTAAAGGGGCCGCGCCCGCCGCCGTGACGGGACATAGCCCGCACGGGGAGCGGCAGCGCGGGGACGGGGACGGGGACAAGGCCACGGGTGCCCGGCTGCACCTCCGCCCCTTCCGCACCAAGCAGCCGCCCTCCCTCCCCTCCCCACAGGTGCCGTAGCGGTGGCGCTGCTCCCGCGCTCTCCCCGCCCCGCCCTGGGCTGAGGAAAGCCCGTCCCCCCCCGCGCCACCGGGCCGCTCATTCACCCCTCGAGAGGGAAAGGCGGTGTCTATTCAGCACACTGCTAAAAACAGCAAACAAACAAAACCCCGAAGCCACAACAGGAATACAGTACTTTAATCATCCAAAAATTAGTAACTGTTTTACAATCTGACAGCATATAGTGCTGATATGCTAAAACACTCAATACCTGTTTCCTCAATGGAAATTTAAATTGAACACTTGCTCGTTTGTAGCTTACAAACGCAGGATTACTCAAGCTGTAGAGAGAATGAAGTTATTTCTTTAAAATACAAGAGTAAATAGGTAATTGCTCTGAAATATTGGTTATATTTCTATGCTTAGCTTGGAACCAACAGAATCAACATATGCAGTCATTTGATTTCTGCATTAAGCCAGAAAAATAATCAGTAAGAAAACAGTATCTCTTTTGGAAAAAAGATCTCGTGTTTATGGTAACTGGCTCTCCAAGTAACACCACTCCTGCACTCACGATCAGTGGAGTCATATGCAGGATCTCACCACACTCCACAGCATTACAGCAGTGTTCACTTTGTTTGTGGAGACTCTTGAAGATTCCTGGCTACAGACTGAATTTCTTCATTTATTCCAAAAAGGATGCACACTGCAGGCACAAAAGTGATTGCTGTTAACTGTTCCGTGCACCATGCCAAAGGTCTTGCAACAATTTGGATGATTAAACCCCTCTAGTTGAAAAAAACTGTTTTCCATGCCTGTCAGGTATCTGTACTGAAAGGCACAAGCAGTCAAATTTTTAGCTGTTGTCTACAGAGCTAAACCATTTATTAGGGTCCAATACTATAATTTGTGACAGGACACCTGAGAGCTGCAACTTAACTGGCCCTGCCTTTGACTGGAATATAAATAATTAAAAACAGCCAAACTTGATTTAGTAAAAGCAAGAAAGGGATTTGGGCTATTATTTCCATAATCCAGCCTTTCAGTTTTCTCCTTCATTTTCAAGTAGGAGATAACTGCCTAATCTTTTTAGGTAGTGATAAAATAACTCATCATAGAATTCAAATACATGAATAGATTCTGTGAACATGCAGCCCTTCAACAAATGAAGGAAGACATTACAGCCTGTTGTTTGACAGAAAATTATTATGGTGCCTAGCAAATAAAAAGTAAAGTACAGCTTTAGGCAACTCAGCACATGACATGCTTTGGCCATGTTTATACAGCAGTGTCTGTAAAAAGACACTTGTGCCTGTATACATATTGTATTAAACTATTTCAAAATCTAAAAAGTTCTTGAAAATTTACAAAAGCCAAACCAAAAGAAGCCCTTTTTGTGTCTCATCAGAACACTTCTGGTGTTGTTGTGAGGTTACAGTAACTGTAGTCTTTGGTTTTAACTGAATTAATTCCAAGTTGGTTTTCAGAGCAAATATTTATTTGTAATTCTAATAAAAGGCTGATTTGGAAATAGGGGGGGGGGAAGCTTCTTCCATGAGTATAAACCAGTTATATACAGCCCCACTGAAGGCATTATAGTTCAAAATTCTCTGTATAGTTGCAATAAAATTTGAAGCCACCTCCAAAATAAAGTCTGGCTTTAAAGATCCAAACCAAGATTTGCAGCAAATTACCATGTGGGCACAGTGTCAGAGACTCATTCTGTTTTTACAGTTTATACAACCTGATGCAAAATTCTCAGTCCAATATGGTTTCTACACATAATGCTCACCACAGTATGATCTTTGAATGCAAACAGTTGTCAGTTGAATTCTTTGTTGCTATAAATACAGCCAAGCAGTCCTGTAGAACATTTTTGTGATCTCAAAGCAAACTAGTACAAGACAGTCCAAACACACCTACACCAAAAAGCTTCTCGATTTTCATATTTCAAAGTGTACTGTGATTATGTACAGAAGTTGAAGTGATTCTTGTTGCCTTATTAGTTTGCTTATAGAACTTTAAACACTTGAACAATGACTACACCCTAGAGATTTGACACTACATATTGATTAGTTTTTGCATGTCTTAGGTAGTGTTTCAACATCAAGACAGATATAGAATGGAAAAAAAACTTTCTTAAAAGTGTTACTTCATTATTAAAAACTGTTAGATTTTTATGAAGTACAAAGAGCTTAATGTAATGCAACTTAAGTCAGTGGTCTTACAGTCAAGGCTGCTTTTCCTGTACAGTTATGCAGAATTTTAAATATTAATGTCCACTACTTCTAGAGAAATTGATACTTATGAATGTAGATAATTTTTAAACAAAGAATATAAACTAAATAATGGTGATGAACACATGGAATCAGTCTAAAAACGTATCCAGTTTAGATACAGAGCAAGACAGTTACGGGACCTTTTGAAAAAGACTTTAAGGATTTAGGTGTAACAGGAAAACTTTCATTTTACAAGGCTCCTGAATTTTTTTATTGTTTTGCAAGGCTTCCACTTTTGTATTAGTCTCTGTAATCTCTTGGGAAAAGTCCTTAGCCCGTTTATTTTTGTTTGGCTTAAAAGGATATCTTTGAACTTGATTACAGTATCAAGAACAAATAAAAAAATAAAACAGTAGAATTACAAATAACATTGCTGTGAAAGATTTCTCTTCAGTGCATATGAACAAAGCTGAACAGCTCTACACGAGTCCAGCTGCTGGGTGAAGAATCCCTTCTTACTAAGGCATTGTTGTCAGGAATATATACACACCCCTCCATGTAAATACACACCCCCCAGATTTTCTTACAAACATTTAGTTGGGTCAGTATCTGCCCAATGATCTTAAACATCCCATTCTTTGAGTACAGACAATTATACTACTGATCTGCAATTACATTTTTAGTAGAAAGCACAGCCAAAGTCTTGAAATACAAAAAAAGTTCTTTAAAAAACCCAATCAAAACCTATGGTACAGAGACTGGCACAATTACTGTGTCTCCATCCATCCCAAAACCATGCTGCATACCAGCAGATGATTCTACTGCTTTGCTTTAAAAGGAATGGGGTTTCCAGTCTTTTCCCTTCTAACCCAGATCAATGTAGTCCAAGATTGCCAAAGCCCACGGTGCTGCCCATACTGACTCCACAGTTCTGGCATCAGCTTTGCTAATTGTCCCCTTCAACCCTCCTCTTCCGAACTGCAACAAGGGAGACAAAAAAGAGAAGTTTTGCTATATTAGTATTTTAACTATTTTTTGTGTTTCTATACAAGAACAGTTACTTTGTCACATGAAGTACCACAAATTAAAGTAGCAAACACTTAGCATTAGACAGCATTTTAAGCAAGTAAGCTTATCCCCTTACTCATAAACAGTTGCAAATATTTCCGAGGAAGGACTTGTGAGAAACATTAATCATCTCATGTCTGATAAGCAGATTTAGCCAGGATTCTTTTTTTACCGTTTTTGCAGGTTTTTAGAGGTGAATTTAATTTACATGGCTTCAAAAGAAACACTACAGGAGCTTCCCACTATATCTAACACGATTTACACACAGATGTTACAATCAATAGCCTAAAACCTTCCATTTGTTAATAAAAAGATTCATTTGTCAAAATGAAGAGCAATAAAAAACTTGTGAATAAGATAACTAAAAGCTCAGATGCTATTAAGATTTGAGAATATGCGATATTGATTGAATGACTGGAGTTTTCCTCGGCATTTGTTTATTTCTGATGTTTTCTTTTCACACTATCAAATTATGTTTTCCTTTTCTGTACAGACATAGCAAATGGCACTAAAGCTCTTATAAGACATATAAAGGACATCTCCATTTTGTTTAAAAAAATGAAAGAAACACATCTATATAAGAAGAAAGTGAATCTGTTCTCAAATCCACTCAATGGAAAGTAGGTGGCAGAAGTTATTCATACCTGCTTTCATCAAACTGCAAGAACAGATGACAAGAATTTCCAGCCCTAGACTTCTCCAATCACTCAGTTAAATGTACACAGACAAAGAACAGGGAAGTGGTAGAGCACAGTGTGAGCAAGGAAAAAGAAGATGATGACTTTTTTTTAGAAGGAACGTACAAAGAGAGAAATGAGAGACTTGGAGCATCTCAGTTTCAGTGCTCAATACCCAAATGGGTATTCAGAGTAACCTTCTCTGTAGCTTCAGGGCTGGACAGATGAAAAGGTATTTGCAGAAACTTTTACTCGCATACTCCAGACTAAGAAAGCAAAGGAAAAAAGGCAAGATATCAATAGAAGCATAGATTTTGAACAGTCAAGCACTAATAAAAGAACTACTGACAGGGGAATCCTTAGAAAGCTGTGACACACCCGAAGCATTATGATAAAAAACCCAATTGGTTTAGAATCTGTTTAGAGAAACAGTGTCTGAATGCCTTTCTTAACTCTCTGTGCTCTATTCTAGTTACTCATCCACATCTTTCAGAGCTGTTCTCCTCTATTTTAACCTATATTCAGAGGGGAATCAGATTTTTAAGCCAAATTCCAATTTCCTGTGTCATTCCCTCTAATATATTCCTTAACTACTGCTACTACTACTAAACTGCCTGGCCCCTTTTCAAACTGTGATGAGAGGTCACCACAAACCATCTAAACCCAAAATATTTAATTAAATGGAGCTCTAAAAAGCAATTATATTTTAATAGAGGGACATTATTTTGTAGTTGAGTGCCTCAAGTATTTGACATTATTATACAAATGATTTCCGTTCATGTGCTGTGTTACTAACAAATTTTCTGCTGATCATTTAATTAGGATTCTAACTGATGAACTCCCAACAAATCTGACAGCATCAAATAAAGATGCCACTGTTATCAGTCATTTGTGCATGAACAGAACCACCAAGGCAGAGATTATCTGGTCCCAGCCTCAGTACATGACAGTAGGTTCAGCTTCCTTGCTCAAGCAATCCCAGTGACATTGGGATACTGGCACTGAACAGGGCATCCTACAATGTTGATTTCATATACTGCTTTTAAAGAAGAAATTAATCTTATCTGAATACACCTGAGTGATCAAAACTATTGTTTTCACTCCCTTTGCCACAACTCACATGAAATTTGAATGCTCTTGTTCTAGAACTATGCAAAAAATCCTCTGATCATATATACCTGAACATCCTGCAACAAAACAGAAAACATCAACTAACAACTAAAAAGTAGGAGTAAAGCACAGGAGAAACTGAAACTGATCTACTAATCTTGTGCTATCCTGGTTTTGTCAAGGAGAAGGGGAATAACCAGACACGTTTAAAGCCTGTGCCACACACCCATTCAGTTATTAATGACAGGTCTTACCCAAATCATTGTTTTTTGTGATAGCTGCAGCTGCCCTGGCTCGAGGTCCCTGTTGTGTGAAATGGTATCCAAATTTGAGGATCTTGTTGTTTTCTTCAAGCATCTTGGCAATTTCTACTTCTGCAGCTGTGCCCAGCTGCTGCCTCTATTAAAATAAAAGGTACACAAAGACAACAGAGCTTATGTGTGTTCATCCTGAAAGAGATCAAAACACTTTCCCCATATCAGTCAATAAACACTCAGCTTCATTCTAGCTGATCAAATAGGCAGAAGGTCCTAAATACGTTTGTACACTTTAAAGCACAAGAAAGCACAGAAATCAATCTCAGCTGGATGGTTCTTAAAATCTTAAGGGCAGTTGTTGATGGTGTTAAGATAATTAAACATAAAATATTTGAAGAGTTTATCACAAGCTGTCTTCTAAAAATATTTAGTCAATTAGGATTGGCTGGGTTTAGTTATACTACTCCCACCACCTCACTTACCTGATTATCAATTTTAATCTCTGTCAACGTTTCATTGTCTTTCAGTGCATCAACCAATGCCAGAATTCCAACTCCAGTGATGAAGTTTGATTCTATGTTCAAACTTTTTAATTTTGTGTTTACTCTCAGCATATCTGCAAGGGCCTTTGAATATAAGAAAGCATCATTAAACTTTTGAATTTTGCTGCAGTACCTCACAGGACACAGCAATAACCACTTCCACTAACTAGTTCCATGGAAGCAACAAGTTCAGAGATGCAAGGTGTAACTTTGGAAGCTTTCACTTACTGAGACTAAGATGAGTCTTCAGCCAGGCATTATCTACATCCCCTTTTTAAATAGCATTCAGTCAAGAGAAGGCCTGTCTTTCTCTTGTTACAAACTAAATAGCTACACAGAATATAAATTGTCTGAAATTAGCATATTGGACCAATTCCATTTTGTAAGCCTTCACAGCACACAATGAGCAATGCAGGCTGCTAAGCAAAGGCCAAAGAAAGGGCGTTAGTCAACTGAGAGGAGAATTAGATATGGTTAATTTGTAAACAGGAGATCTGACTTTCAAAATGCTTTTGTCCACAGATTTGGCAGGAAGAGGGTAAATTCAAAGCTCTAAGCATGGTACCAGCATGTAGCTAAAGACACTTTTATACCTGATGTTATTTCTGAGAAAGGAAGAAAACAAGAATGGCTAACTGCTAAGTTTACTGTCAGAAAAATTGTACCTTTTGATTTTTTTTTCTATCAAGTCACAATACAAAAAAACCCAACAGAACCACACCTGAGAAAAGAAGCCATTATAGATTTTTATTACACGTTCTAGTCCTGCTGAAAAGAAACTTTTTAATTGACCCAAACCCAAAGATTTCAAATGCTCATTTGTTCATTTAGTGGAGTCTTTCAAACTAGTTGCTTTTGTTCTAATTTGAATTTTAAACAAGTGCAAAGGATCGTCCTGGCAAAACAATTAGTTTTGTTTTCTTACCTCTTTCTTTGTAATTAAATAAGGTACTGCTTTAATTCAACATAGAAAAAAACCCGACCTGACAATAAATTATATTTAAGTTTCAATTGTATCAAGCTAGATACTTTGACTAATATTATGCTTTATATACCAATATTTTAAGCCAATCTTTGCTAGCAGGGAGATAGAGAAACAGGCATTTTACAACTTCAGCTAAAACTCTAATTAGTTGAAAAATATTATGGGTGTTTTTAAGTCCTCAAATGTGCATCTAGTAAATTAATTTTGAATAAACTATTGGCTACTGGAATGAACTGCAGGAAGCAAACATTTAGGAAAGAAAGGAAAAAAAGGAAGGAGGTTAGCAAAATGAAAAATCAGGGAAAGGGACTGGAAAAAAGAATTCTCCCTCACACATCTGAGGCATTGCTGCATATTAAGTTACCAGTAATCATTTACCAACTTAGATACAACAAAGGTTTGTTAAAGAAAACATACTTTACAGTGTAGCAGAATGGAAACATTTTCATCCCTGAGCATTTAAACTGGATTAAATTCAATCCCTTACCTTTGCCTTCCCATCCTAACTTCCCTGGCACCCCACTGAAAGCTGTTATCGTGTGTACTTACAACAGCAACAGGATCATTGCTTCGGGTGGCTGCCAGGCTGAAATTCTTCACATGTGTGTTGGTTTCTAAGGCTTTTGCAAATTCTTTCAGCGTTGGAATTGGTATGTTCTTGAATTAAAAATAGCATTTCACTCTCTTGAGATACACAAGTTTATCCCCTCCCCCCAACTTTTCCCACTATCTTATTTTTTTACAGCAAAATGCCCTACACAATATTAACTACCACTGGTCTCCAGCAGTCCAACAGTGAAGCCCTACCCTACAATGCAATAGCTGTAAGAGTCACCAATTCTAGAAAGCAATCATTTTTACAGTACAGTAGCAATTAAGCTTGAAAGGAATCTTTCTAAAGCATTAATTAGGGTAGCAAATGTCTCAGTTTATTGTATCAGAAACTTTGATCTATTGCCTTTTTAGGCAGTTATTCTGGCTAACATTTACCTGCTACACAGTATTCTTAAACCATGGATTTTATTTCCCCCTTTAGTAAGGGGAACAGGCTGCTGACAAGGCTGTGCCTGCACTGGCTGCTGCAGTTCTGGTTTCTTTCAAGCTAATATATAAAATATATAAAGTCACGTGTAAAAACACAACTGTTACACTTAGGAGCAGAGCTGCCCTAACTTCCACCAGCCCTTCTGTACAAGAATCAGAAGGATGTCAAGCACAAATATCCCTTTGCTTGCAACAGAAACTGAGAGCACACTTCTTCATCAAGGACAAAGGATTCAACAAAGCAGTTAACTCCATGATAATGAACTGCTGGAACTGCTGCCAGCTTGGCAGCAACAGAAATCTGGGCTGGCAGTGAGAAAGTCTAAGACTTTTAAAATACACATTTGGCAAAAGAAACCAAGATGGCTTATCACTTCAACTGCAGGTTCTGAGCTTATATACACTACAACATTCAGTAGAAAGATTGCTGTACTTAGAATAAGCCTATCATGCTCTCTTAGAGTTTTGCAGCTTGAAGTGTCTTCTACTGAGAAGCAGCAGCATATTTGCTGTAGCCTTCAGTTAATTACCTTAATGTTATTTAGATTAACTTCAACAAGACGAGAATCATTATCTTTAATCCTTTGCAGTGTCTCCTCCACATTTGTGGGATTTGGTGGTTCATCAAAAACAGGCAACATTTTTTCACCTTTTACTATATCTGAAAAGTAAGGCATTTAAAGGTAATCAAAAGCTTGCACACATTCACTGTGAATAAATAATACACATTCTAAATATTTACTGTATTTAAAGATCATTTTACAAGTCTTTGCATCTCTCCCCCACCAAAAAAACATACCATCTCTCCTGACCATATTTTCACAAAGTTCAATTCTTTTTCAAAAGTCCTCACAGCCTTTCTGCTTTTTTTCAGAAAGCACATGGGAGTTGAATTACAAACAAATATAAAACCTAAGGACCAACACACACAATGCATATTTATGCCTACTTTTGTCATCAAAAAGTGACTTAAATGCAGAAGACACTTTAATGTACATATATTTTAATTCCACTCTTGCCAGAGCTCAATTAGCAATGTTATAGGCACACACATTTCCAGACTAAGACTTATGAGTCTAAACCAATGTTGGTGCAACAGAACAGTGAATGTTATAGTAACTGTATGCAGTACAGAGAATTGATTTTTCTAGCACTTGTGTACACACTTACTTGAGAAGTTGTCTTTGTCAATCCCATTACTGCTTCCTACTACATCACAGAACTGGTTGTTTGTTATTAAGTTGGACATTCCCAGTATTGCTGAAAAAGGGAAAAAAGAAAAAGCAAAAAATGCAGGGTTCCTTTAAGTAACAAAACCTGTTGTTTGTAAAATAGCTATCAGTATAAAAAGCCATTCAGTATCTTAATCATTTGAAAAAAGTAGAAAAAATAATTAATTATAGACATTTTAGTTGACTTTCACATCTTAGAATGTTCTGACCCCACCAGGTTCGAGCAGCAACATTAAAAAATTCAGCTCCATCACAAAATGAAGCTTTAGGAATACAGGCACATACAAACACACTGTTATACATAAGAAAAAGCAGACACATACACATCAAAAAACAGCCACTCTGAGGAATGTATTTAAAGGTTTTGAGTTTGAAAATAAGGTATCATTTGCAGGCCCAAATAATTAACTTCCTCACAAATTATCACAAATCAACAAAGGTGAAATGCTTCAAGCAAACTGGCAAAGAACATAATCCAGTTTCTGTCACAACTACAACATCCTGTAGTCAGATCAATGCAGCACCACATTAATTATAGATCCTTCTTGTCTAAATATGTACCAGCCCATTCATCCTTCAAAAAGTCCTCACCTGCAAGGTCACCTAATTCTGTGTCTGTGGCACTGGTCAAGGCTTCCTCCAGTTCTGGATCAAGAGAGAATTTTTCTTCTGTGAAAGACTGTACAGGCTTTTGCTTGGGGATAAATATTTTCCCTGGAGTAAACAAAATGGAAAGTCTGATGTTACTTTGCATAATATAACTATTATCTTTCAAATACTAGGTACTTAAAGAATACATATTACATTTAGTGAATACTAGGAGGACCAGAAACAACATAAAGGGTTCTTTTGTTGTTGCAAGTCAGAGACGAGGAAAGAACATAAACAGGAATAAATTTTCAGGAGCCTGGATCATGATTCCAACCTTATTTGTTTCTCATACGTATTAGAAAGCAACATATAAACCTCCATTATAATTTTGAACAGTCTAGAAAGACTGTAGGAAAGATTTAGTATCACGAGAGAATGCTGAGTTTCCTCTCAAGGGACAAAGGGATCCAAGCAGAACTGTAATCTGAATATGTCGGAGGGAATATCACAGAGTTATCTGAAATCACACACCTGGCAGTTTTTAAACCATACATGATGTATCTGATTTCAGATGTTAACCTCAGTTCTGAAGCAAAAAAATAAAGCTGCTTGAGAAAACCATGGTTTGTGAACAGCCCAAAACACGTTAACAGATTTCTGTGCCAGTGACACTGTTTTCTAAAATGATACTTAGAAAGGTCATTGAAGAGTCAATGGCAAAAGAATCAAGAGTAATATTATATTCTGCACCAACTTTTTAGTTATTACAGGCAGGTAATGGGAAAACTTATTTTAGAAGACATGAATTAGGTAGAGGTCTGTGTAGTTACTGTAATTCCTGCATACACCTTTAGCTGGAACGTTAGAGTAGGAAATCAGAATATGAGAAAGTCTTTTCTAACAGTTCAGCTATGAATGGTCCTTCAGAACAAAGAAGTCTTCCACCGGGTTAGAGCCAGGACAGGTGCTTAGGTTCAGGACAAATTAACACAGCAAACAAAAGCTCTTGTACTGATGCATTTGAGAGAAATTTTTTTCAACTACACAACTGTGAATCAGAGCTATTTAAGGTTCAAGTTTTTCAGACTTTCCAAGCTGCCTGAGCTATCAGCAGAAAGAGCAATGGGAAAGGAGTTCCAACTTCCTTTTGTTATTTCCTGAGGTAGGAAGTGGTGTTGATAATCATCCTAAGAAGTCTCAGTCCTAATTCAGGAGCCCACCCTCTGCCATATCCATAGCTATAAAAAGTATTTCCACAGAGGAATCATCCTCATCCCAATGTCCCAGTTACAGTGATAGTAGGTGAAGTTTAGCATCACTAAACCCAAAATCGTATTCCTTATCTTCTCTAGATTATAGCAGTTTGTGGTCATTCTCCTTTTAAAGGAAGTTAATGCATTCCCACTAGCACAGATTACAGAGAAGCACACCAGGTTTTTCTCTGACAACACAGTCTAATGACCAAGAGCTGTTGCTAGCAACCCGGTATTTTTGTTCCTGGGTTGCTATCTCTTTGGAAACTTGTATAAATGGTCATTATCCATATTTAGAAGCAGAAAATAACCTCCTTACATAACTGTATTGATTCCAAACAGTAGTTAAGTGCAGCTGACGTGCATTACCACTCACACCTCAGCTCTGATGGACAGTCCAAAAGAAACTGTTGGTGAGTCAGGATTAAAAGAAACCGTCATAAATTGAAGACTTATGTAGCAATGGTTTCAGGGTGTTTTGATATAAATGATGCAATACATTTCTATCATTTTATTTTACCAGCATCACCTACTGGGGAGAGATTAACCTTTAACTAAAACTGTAGTTTATAGAAGAGATGCAAGAATGTTTGACAAGCTTTTCATTAATCCATTAAACACTCTGAGCAGCACACACATGATCTAAAGCTTTTCAGCAACTATGTTTGTGTTATTTTCCCTCAGTAATATGGGCTAGTAAAAAGGTGAGGATTTGGAGTACAAGGAAGGAGGACAACGGGATTCGAGCAGCTGAGCCTTCATTCAGCCATCCTATTTGCAGCATCAGTGCAGCAGGAAGAGAGCAGGAAAAATAAACTGATCTCAATTAAAAGCAGCTTGGCAAAAATGTATTTTAACCTAGTTCTTCTGCCTGGTTCATCCCACAGTGCTCACAAAAAAATAACTACTTTTCCTGATGTTGCTTTTCTTTAATTCTTAAATTCATGGGTTAGAAACATCTGGTTCATATATTTGCTTCCTAAGAGTAATACTAAACTTATCCATACATGCCTGACTCTAGAAAACCTAAAGAGAGTGAGAAGTATAATCAGCTTTTAATAAAGCAAAAATGTTAAAAGCCACTGCCCTTCAGAAATGTTCACTACAGCCAACTCCAGTCACATGAGCTGGGTCAGGAGCAGTTTTTGTTATAAAACAAGTCACACCCTTGTGTACATAATTTCTCATTCATTGGCTTCATCTCGTCCTACACCAGAAATCATAGGTTTACAATGCACATACAAAAGTAGATCCTTCCCCACTCCCCACTTCTAGCCATGAATTTACTTCTAGAAGGGTAAGACCTCTGTGTCTCTGGGGACAATGATCTCACTCAAGGCCTGCTGCCAGTACAGTTCAGCAAGTCCCTCCCCCCTTACTAATGCAAGCTTTAAATAAAACCAAAAACCACTACACATCTGTGCAGCCCATGAGATGTGCAGCTTGCCTGGCCCTCAAGTGGAACATTTCCAAATAGCAGGGATTTAACTACATGAAGGAACATGACAGTTCCTATTCAGCTAGCCAGGATACTGCAAAGATTAAGAAAGACAACGTGAAGAGGCAAATTTCAGGGATGTTCACACCATTTTTGTAATAATTATATAGGCAGGTGTTCCATGCCTTTAAGCTAACATATTAGATGATGCACATCCAGGATTAAGTCACAGGCCTCCTCTGCTACAGAATGAACTTTTGGTTCCAAGTTCCACACAACTGTACTGCTCTAAAGGCAGGAACACTGGATGGTGTTCATTCAAGTGCCCTGGACATTTCCCACACAGATTCACAGTATTTAAGGTGGGACTCAATACCTTGCAGAAATCAGGTCTGTTGAGTGGAGCCATGCACTGCACATTGCTGGTACTATTCTCACATATCCCACACTTACAGACAGCAGGCAGCCACACTTTGCACAGCAGAACAAAGTCTAAAATCCACTTTTGGGGTACTCCATTTGGGGAAACAAAACAAGTACCACCTGAGAATAACTGAATACAAGCTTTTCTCATCACTAACTTCATGAAGAAAAGTGAGCAACATCTGATGTATTCTTTATATCTTACGTTCCTTCAACTTTCCTTAGTTCTGAAATTTATATAATCCACACTTCATCAATCTCCAGTTCTTACCATGTAACAGACTTAGGTTTATTAATTCACTTGTAAGCACAATTTCATACTAATGTTTTTAATTCAACTTACAAGTGAGTTCCTCAATGTCTTAGTGCAGAAGCAGAGCTGTTATCTGCTATCTGATTACAGGCTACATAGCAGTGAATTAGAAAACTGTTTTACATTAGGGCTGGAGTATCACATGTTATTTTGTTCTAGTGCTCTTGTATGGAGAATATCAGTTTGACAAGCTGTTTCTGCAAAGCTCCTACAGGATATTAGCTTCACTTCACAACATGTAACACACTTCCTTTAAAGACTTTAAAGTGATTCAATGGCAAACAGAGAACACAGCATCTCAAATCCTGCTGCAACAGAAGGCAATGGTGATCTAGAGCAACAACTGAGCAGGGTGCCAACAAAAGAGCTTTAAACAGGCGGCTACAGTTTCAGCGAACAAACACACCCCAACAGGAATGCAAAGGGAAGAGAGAGCCACAGTTAGGAGAGTGCAAAGGCTAGAAATGCAAAGCTTAGCCTACACAATGCTTTGCTAATGCCATGCACTATACAGCACAAAGTACATTGCTATCTCAGATATGTTTTTATCTCAGCTGCAATAATTCTCTTCTTCTGCTGTTCCAAGAGAAGGGAGAAGGAGCATTGGTCAGAATTGGCCAGATGAGTGGAACACACTTGAGGGCAACAGCCTTCAGTGCTGAAGCCTTGCTTTACTGTTTGGATGAGAGCTCCTCCTTGCAGCATGCCCTGTAAAATCTTTATGACATACTTACATACACACATTGAGACAGAGCTAGTTTTGTTGCAATTATTACCACATTGGTCTCATGAACCTCCTGAACAATGGTTTACTGTATGGTTCAACACTTAATTGGAACAGAATGTGACTTAAATCATTAAATCATGTTTTAAAACAAAGTAAGTTTTTAAGGATGCTTTTAGAAACAAAATCAAGGCACTGGGAAAATGGAATAGAGTATAATTTGGGGATTAAACTTCACATTTCTTTAGCACTGTTCATTTCACCACAGCAGGACACTTTACATTATTTCACATCTTCCAGATGTCATAGTGCAAAACAAAAGAGGTTCCATAGACCTGGAGAAATTACATCATCTATCACTGAAAGAGAAGCAACACTGTTTTACTAAAATGTTACCCCAAAAATAGGTACTTGGGGCATCTGGAAGAGACTATTTTCCTTCACACTCTAGTAAGAAAACAAGGTTACCAGAATCAGTAGCAAGACAGAATATTTAAAATCAACCTAGGGTAAGCTTCTTTGATAAATCTGCAGACCAAATAGCCATGCAGGACATCAGTTCTACTAAGATAGAAAAAGGAAAAAGAAGGGTAGATTTTCCTCTTCTTGTTTCATGAAATGAATAATTGGAACAAGTGAGAGCAATGAGACCAGCCAGGGACACAGAAATATTTTGACCCAAAAAATGGCACCAAAAAAACCCAGCTGAGGCTCCAATCTATCTCTCTCCTCCCAAAACCTCTGGAACTGAGGGTTATTACTGGTCACATTTCTCCTAAATTAACAGGAGAATCAAGCAAGATTTTCACCTACCCTTATTCCACAATTTGCTAGTGTTTCTCTGCAACACATATTTCTAGATGAAGTGAAAAATTATAACCCAGCTTAGTTGTCTGTTGGTCTGTTTTAATATTAACAAAAAGAACATTACGATACAAGCCTTCTATAGAAAAGCAAATCCTACACAAGGATTAAGTTGCACCCCATGCCCTTTCCAAGTTCTACATCTAGAAAAATATCATGATTTCTTGATTTAAAAGATTAAGTTATTTATATTTGCCATTTTTGTGCAAAATGGCAGCAAATGTGGCAGCAAGTCAAAGTTGAACCATAATACTTTCACAAGGGGAAAAGTACTACAACATGAGCTTGATCTTCTTGCCTCCTGCCCACACAACAGAGTATCAATTTGGATACTAAACATTTGTTTCCACATTTTTAGTTTTAATGAAAGTAATCTACATTTCATTTTTCATATTATTTTCTCTTGCATAGCATTAAGATAAATTACAGAGGTTACTAAATATCAACTTTTTTACAAGATACGGGAAATTTTACAAACTACACTGGTATGACTCATTGCAACATGCAGACAGACTATTTAGTAATACTTTATTACATAAAGGAAATGACATTTGATCTTTCTTAACCAAGCTCTGCATTACAGCTGGACCCTTCTGTTTCTCTACAAGATTCTCACAGATTTTATCTACCCAAGCAAATACTTTTATGTATGCATGTAAGCCGCCTTTAGAGAGCCATCTATGTGAAAGGAGCATTAGCAGTCAGCAGAAAATGTAGCATTAGAGCACATCCTCCTTGCTCAGCTCACTCCCTGACTGAGCAGTGCACACGATGCAAGGGATTCCCCAATCACCTTCAGCCCCAAATACACCAAATTCAATCACATTTAACCATCAGTCTGTCTCCAACCCAGACTGGCAAATCTGTCAGGAGAGCAGCAGAAGCCAGGCACAGCCAAGCACCAATGAACAGGTACTTGGCAGCAGCAGCAGAGGTACCATGAAGGTACTGCTGCTGTGGGTGCCTCTGCCTTCTACAGTCAATACATTGCATGGTCCTTCACTTGGTTACTCCTACAGGTTCAGTCACCAAACTCCTGTTCTGCTGTCAGCACAGGAGTGCCACAGTTATCTCTCAACACACACGCAGCTCAACTACAAAATAAAGCAAAAAACGCTCTATGAAGAAAGTCCATCATACAGAGGGCAGCACACTGTAAAGTCACAATCTCTACTACTTCAAGAAAAAAGGGAGACACCAACTTTGTGAGGTAAAGCTATCTGGCACAGGCAGAGAAAATGCCAATACCTCCAACAAAATTTTCACAGTCCCCACAATCATATACTTAAACTCAGTGGATGAATGAAGACTCAATTCTGAAATAAAGCAATGATTCACACCAGAGAATTAAAGGGTTTCAACCCCTTAAGAAAAGAGGAGCCTGCTCATCTGGAGCAGCTGGAATACAACTTAGGAAACAATTTACTGAAGTGGTAGTGCAGCAGATCTGCCCTGCTGCTGGGGAAGGTTCTCATGAGCCGGGACTCAAGCAGCACTCACACACTGTGGCAACAGCTAAAAGGCTGCTCCATCTGTGCCCTGCACAGGTCTGCGAGTGTCTGTGCCTACCAATAGTGCTTTGCAAAGCTCTACAAATTTGGGAACTTCTGGTTTGGGTGGGAAAAAAAAAAAAAAAAAAAAAAAAAAAGAGTTGTTCTTACGATATTTAAGAAGCACATTCTTTGGCAATTTTCTTCTGAAAAGGAAAATGCTTCCGATCAAGTCAATGAAAATACTAAATCCAAAGCAAAAAAATTAAAATCCCAGGCTTTAATAACGTGTTCATGGTTTTCAGACCACAAACCACTGCCAGATTTCAAAAGTTTTGATCTTACCTATATAATTAGTTAGGAGTAACTATGCAATCTTATTAAAGCTTTCAGTAAGGATGACAGAAAAGCACCATGACTGCATAACTGCATACACCACTTGTCTGGCCTTGTCAGCCTGCATCATCTTCGAACATTTCTGTCTACCACAACATCATTCAACTGCTATTCCTCTAATCCAACACAGTGTTACAAAGGCTGCTGTCTGTACTCAGCACAAGGCATAAGCCACAGGCACAATGACAGCATTTGTTATTGACATAAATCAGAGTTAGCTCTTACTTTGAGGATACCATGCCCATCAGAATCTATGATAAAATCTTTGAGTCTTATTTCCTTCCTGTGCTACATACAAGAAGCACACCAGCCCCGGTGGCACAAATGCTTGAACAGGAAGCCTCCTGGCCCTGCACAGTAGCAGCCATTTGGAAACTCTGTGAGTTAAAAGCATTACAGCTGCCAGTGCTTCAATCAAATTCAGTTCACAGCAGTTCTGGCTCATCCACTTCAGAGATTTCATAAGCACTTACACAGGAAAGGGTGGTGTTACCTTTCTTTTCTCTTGTAAAAGGCACATAGTCTTCCCTGTCCTTGTACTCCAGCGCCTGCTTCTCCAGATAGGCCAGGAGCCGTTCCCTGTCGAAGGGACCCGAGGCCTTCTTGGCAGTCTGGTCCTTCTGCCGGAAGCCTGCGGGCAGCAGCGCATTCTGCAAAACAAACGCACCTCAGAAAGTCTGGGTGAGCACCTGCTTAGTTTCATTTCCCTCTTCCTCCTCCCTCTCTGCAAGGTTCAGCCCTGGTACACCATCTTTTGTAGGCAATCTTTGATCCCCTGCCAACTTCCATTTTTTTGGGGCAGGGAAGGATACAAGGTAACCAAGACATGGAGAATATAATGAAAACACAGCACACTGCCCTCTCAGTAGGATTGAAGCAATTCTTTAAGTACAATAGCTCCCAGCACTAAATTTGCCAGTTACTTTGCATTTCTTTGTTAGAATCAGCACTGTTTAAATGAGCAGTACTAAGTAAAACTCAGCTATTTACAGTTTAGACATTCAGCAACAGACTATTTCCTCTGTCACTTACATCCATGTGATTTTAAGTCCGTAAGACAACTGACTCTACTATTATTTTAACACAGAGTATTTCTGGTTTTGACCTGACTCAATGTGGGAAGTTTCTTTGATAACAACAACATATTCCAACTAAAGAGAAAAGAATAAAGTGTATTAGTTCAGAAAGACCAGAATTTATAGGAATTCTGACTGCCATGAAAGACAACCAGTCCCTTTTGCCAGTTCTCCTGTTAAAATATCCATAAAGTCAACGGCATTTAAGATATCAGTAATATCTTGCAGTGCAACAAAACAGGTGATATAATATTCTGAACTGATCCCTGAACATCAAGATTAAACTAATCCTGGTTCTATTAAAACAAAAACACAGACTCACAAGGTGAAAACATTAAGTCTTGGAGTCTGACATTAGCTCCAATATCTGTAGAGGACAACTCAGCTCTTTGTAGCAGAAATCTGCAATATTCTTTATTTAATACCCCATGCTGACATAATCATTCAGGAGTGTAGCAATTATTTGTTTTCTCTTCACAAAGTCAGCATGAGGACAAGAATAGATATAAGCTACCAGATACAAGACCAGGAATCATTAGAAGGGGCTGGCACCCTCTCACTCCCATCAAACTCCACAGCAGAAACAATAAAACAAACATGTATGCAAAAGGGCTGTTTACCAGACAGCACTGGAAACAGGCAAGTTAAACAGACTTTCCTAAATAAACTTTCTTTTCAAGAACATGAACAACAGCAATTCTTATTTATAAATCAATCCCAGAAAGCTCCTCCCAGCTATCCCTTCTTATGTTCTCCTTTACTACAACTGTGTCCACCTTGGAAACAGGAAATAAGCATTATATACACATATATATCTGTGAGATCCTCAGCAGCCTATGAAAAAAAACTCTGTCCAAAAGTATATTGTACAAAGTCTCAATTTATTTTAGACTAGTAATGGAGCAAATGAAAAAATTAAAACTTCTCTTGGCTAATGCCTACCTCGGGGTCAAGATCATCCAAAACAGTTTCCAGTTGTTTCAGTTCTTCTTCCGAAAGTTTGCCAAGAATTTCATCCTCATCGAGATCTTTGTACTTGTCCAAGTCCTTTCGAAACGGGAGTGTCATGACTTGGATAGTAGCAAGTTGCTCCAACACTTCAAAATCCAAGTCTTAATTCTAATGCAGATCTATGAAAAACTTTAAAAAAGAAATAAGCAGAATTAATTAAGGTAAATATCCCAACCACAAAGCATCTTCAGCCTCCACATACATCTGTGAAAGGAAAGCTTTGTCACCCAGTACTGGTATCTGTTATTCTACAGCTGACAAGGAGCACCTGGAAGCTGTGTTTCCCATTACTGATGAGAATCCTGTCCCACCATGCCCTTGTCCATCAGCAATTAAGCTGTATCTAATTAAGCTATATCTATTTTCAGATCAAAGTCAATACCCAGTCCTCTGGACAAGAACTCCAAAGCCATAATTCCTACAGAGCAGGGCAGGTTGTAAGGCAGGAGGGAGGAGATCTTACTGTTTATGAGTCCAGTTTAACACCTTCATTTTTTACATATAACAAAGCCAAAAGAAGTGTTAAGATGCTCCACGTTTATTGTTGCTACAGCAGATCAAGGCCACTTAAGGATAACTTCACTATAAACAAGGTAATTGGTTATTACTGACTCATATCCCTGCATACTACCTACAGAGGAAACAAAGGAAGTTTGCCTCCAAGTTAATTATAGCACTACCATCGAAGCAACACTCTGTTCTGTCCACAGAAAATTACAATAGCTTGATGAAAAGCATAGGAAATACAGCTCCTAAGTGGCAGCACTCCAGTCAATCCTATTGCCATAAAAACCCTAAAATTAAAAAAAAAAAATTAAAATAAAGAATAAACTGTGTGACTGGTCCCTAAATACTGCATTTTGAGGAAACCAAGGTCCTTCGAAATGTACAGTCTGTATAGCACTTCCCACAGACAAGGAGAGTGCAGAGACCATTTCTTCTAACACCCACCATTTTTAAGCATTTGTCTTGGAAAAAACAGTTAACCACAGCAGTGTTCAAGCAGACAAGTTGTTTCCTCTCATTTTTCTGAAAGAAGTTCTAGGACTCTCTTTTTGTTCAGCCAAATTCTTGCTTCAAGTTGACCATACAGATAAAAAAAAAAGGTAATTGTAATTGAGATGACTCTCTGTAAGTAAGCAAGAGAGGCCATAAGGTGTTTGGGAAGCAAAAGCTAAATATATACATTCCTGTTCATTAGTCTCCTTAAACCTTTTTTTTTTTTTTTGGCTCTATCGAAATACTCAACACAGACCAGACACAGTCAAAATCACTTTTTCATCAGTAGCCCCTATTCAAGGACAGCATAAATACAACTGCATTACTTCAAATCCAACTTAACACTGTTCTCCAAACCAGATCAATTTAGTCCCTGCCTCTTAAGTAGCAGAAAAGTCAGGCTGTATATACACACATGCTATACCATGGAATCCTGCTCACGGGATTCTTCCACCCCAGTTGTTTACATGCAGAAAGGGCTCCCTGGCTGCCACAGTTACATATGGTGACATTTTAATTCACAGACACTAACCAGACATGACCACAGAGGTTCATCTGTGACATCCATTCAGTCAAATGTACCTGTAAAATTAATCTGGTTTTAACAACTGCCTTTGCAAGAACAGTGAATTTCAGGTCCTATCTACATCTACACCTGAATGAGGAATATATTCAGCTATTTTCAGGATGTCTGCTTTTAAAAAAGTATTGCTGATATAAATACTTACTTTGAACTACAGTTCAAAGTGTGAACTTTACTGTGAACTACAGTTGACACTGATGGGACTGCAACTGACCTTTGCAAAGTTCTCTCAAACATAAGGAGGAACTCTCATTTTTGTGGTAAATTACATCAAAAGAACTCTGGTGTCCTCTGAACAAACTCAGTCATGCTGGAAGAGCCCAGACCTTTTGCAAGATGTTACAGAGCTAGCAATAATCCAAGTTATTGGCTGCAGAAAATGCAGAGGGTAGCACACCTATGTTTTCCTAAGTTCCAAAAGTAATTAAAGGACCTGTGGCTAGAGAGCCACCTCCTACAGTTTTCATAGTCTGGTAGTATTTGTTTCTCCAGGTGCAAGCAGCTGATGGACAATTAGCTGGTGCCACACAATCTGCATGTGAACTTCTCATTCCTGGAGCCTTAATGTTGTGCCCTTCCTTACAGTTCAAGCCATTAGACAGGATGACAGGAGAAAAACATTTCCTGCAGCTGATTACACATTGCTCTTTGTGACCAGGCTGCGCCACCTGAGCCCTGCATCAAGACACTGCTATTTACCACATTTCTGCATGTCCATTTGCATTCAAATATTAAAAGGTGTAGTTTTAACAGGTAATTATAAGGAGCAGAATGGTTAGCAAGCTGCAGAATAATGCTGCCCTTACTCTGAGTAGCACTGCATAACCATACATTATCTTCACATAGGCTGTATTTCCTCTCCATTAATTGCCACAAAATGCTGTCATCCAGAATTGATTACTTTTTATTTACTGCATTGAGTGTTTCGTATTGGAAAACTACTCATCCTTTGTAATACATTAATGAATTTTCAGGTCACGGTCCTTAGTCTCACTTGTTTGTATATAACCGAAGAAGTAATATCAAATCCTCATACACAAACACACACAAAAGTGAAAAATATAGTAGCAGAACAAAAAAAAGTTTCTGTAACTGAGGCTTCACTTCAGCAAGAAGAGAATCACATGTGGCCTGGCAAATACAAATTTAAAGAGTTTTGGACATATTTCCTAATACCTATTAGGGATGGGGTTTTTTTAAGTATGAAAGCATCCTAAATGTGAGACACCTTTAAAATGTATGATGGTAGCACTGGTTAGCACATCCATAGTACACTGAGATTGCTTGGCAACAACCCTCAGAAACATTCCCTACAAAAGAAAACACAGCATATACAACACTTGCATACAACGTGCTAAAAATCAGGTTTTAAAACATAGTGTCAGGAATTCTCATTGCCTAAAAAGGGCATAAAGGCCAGCTCAAGCCCTAATCTAATCAAACAAGCCTTTCACCTCCCATTAAACACACTTAGTGCTCTATTTGCTTTCCATCACTCGCTGTAGCATTTCAGCATAGAGACACATGCATAACTACAAGCTTTTAGAAGGAGCAGCTACTTGGCCTGTGAATATTTGTGGCACATTATATTATATACATACATACATACATATATATATGTATATGTGTGATCTTACTGTAAAATCATGGGCAAAACTGTAACCATCAATTTTGGCTTTGCAAATACTTTGCCCTTTTTTCATGAGCAGAGCTAGTTTACTTCTAAATATCCTTCTTGGCTTTAAAATGAAAACATTGCATAAAAGTCCAAAGAGCTAATGTTCTTTTTCAGATATATAGCTACAATGTAAAGTTCTTCACTCCAGCAACTTCAGAGTCACATAAGAAACATTTAGAGAAATGGAAAGAAAGCCATCATTTCCATCAAATGTCAATTCTCTGTTAAGCAGAAGAGAAGCTGATAAATCAGAAATGAAGAAATTCTGCTGGACATCAGAGAAAAAAAATCTTGTTGCTATTCCCTCACCTGGGAAGTCAATGAAGAACTAAAGAAATGAGAGAACAGCAGTAACTTCACTTTATGCCATTTTATAATTACCTGAATTATCACTTGAAGGACTGTCAAGCAACTTTCACACACCTCTCATCCACAAGTCAAGATAATTTTTCTCCCCTCCTCCCTGAAATTATATTTTTAAAACCCGAAATATTCTAAAAAATAGCAAGCTTCCAATTATCATTCAAAACCTCTACCCTTTGCCCCCCCCCGCAATTTCTGTTATATTCAAGAACACAATTTATTGGGAACCAAACAGGAGAAACTCTTTAGATATAACTTGCCCACAGGAAACGACAGCGTTGTTAAAGTCCACTGTAAATGGCTTCCGTGACTTGGATTTTAAAATAGAAGCAACATCATGAAAAACAAACTGAGCTGGGTTTGGCCAGCACATTTGCAGAGTTCACTTTAATCTCATTTGTTCCTCGTGAGCCTCCTTCCCCCCAGCCTCTGGGTGAACCCGGCAGAGCAGGGGGTGTGCAGGGCTCTCAGCATTCCTGCACCACTCGGGGCCCCAGACCCTCCCAGCTGCCTGGAGGAGCCTAAACTGAGCATTTCCCCAGGGAACCCCGACGATGGCAACAATTCTATTTTCCAGCGTACAAATTTATACAGAATTGTTTATGAAGAATGTGCTGCACTTGAAAGAGCTATCTTTACTTACCAAAGCAAGGAGAAAAAATTAGTAAACATAAATATTACCATAATCCCAGCAGGTTCCCTAGGATATTTTTGTAATGACTTATAAGTTTGCTGAACAGACCGATGCTGCCTTTCTTAGCAGAAAGCTTTAAGAAACCCACCTAAGGCTTCCAAACCCCCACCCTGGGGTGGGGCACAGGATCTGGAGTGTCCTGCCCCAGGGAGAAGCAGACATCCCCCAGCCCAGAGCCCCACGGAGCCAGCAGGTGGCAGCTCGTCTTTGCATACACTTCCCATCAGGGTAAACTGCGTTTTCCAGGCAGGAAGACAACTATTCTGGGCTATTTTCCTAGAAAAGCGAGCCCAAGGCTTCATTCTGTTCAGAGACAATTCACTAAGTTCTATACATGGCAAACCGAGCTTCTCTAACTTCACATTTGTCCACACAGTGACCCAGGGAGTGGAGGGGGACAGGCAGCTCCTGCAAAGTAACTACACAGACCATGAAGATGCCTCCATAATGAAGGACATCTGAACACATCTGTGTTTCCAGTTCCTGCAAGCTCCTGCTCTGTATCAGAGGGCACCTGCAATCAAAGCCCACATTGCTCTTTTATATATGCTGTGTACAATGACACAGAACTGGGACACAGCTCTCTTGCAGACAGGGTGCTCTGAGAGATGGCTACACTGCCAAGTTGACACTGTCCCACTGTTCCCGAAAACTGGTCACCCACATTGCAGGGCTACATGGACATAACAAATCAACCCAGGCAACAGCAGGCGTGACAGGGCCAGGGGCCCCAAAGGCAGTACTTGGCAAGCTGCACAGGGCATGGAAGTGGCAGCAGTTCAGCACGCCCATGGCACTTCCAGGCATGCTCACCAAACTTGCTGCAGGGCAGGTGCTCCGATCCCAAATAAATACAAGGCTGGGACAAGATAAAAATCCCAGGTGGCCCAAGAACTTCTGCCAAGAATCACCACTCCAGCTGTCCATTCTCTCTCCCAACATGCAGGAAGTTACTGATTGGCCAGGATGAGGGATGTTTAGGCAGAATTTTTTTCAGACAATACCTGGATGTTCTTCGATAGAAACCTGTTGCCCATTAAAATACAGTATCTGCTCCTGGAGGAACTGCCCGCAGGTGTTTCAGTCAAATAGAAATATCAGATGCAAGCTACCTGAACGTTTATTGAAACATTCAGTTATCTTTTATCCATTGCAGAAAAGTGGCAAAACTTACAAGCCTGGAACAGAACAGTAGAAGAAATTTAATTCATTCCCATTCTATTACTTCAGGAAAACTGAGCACGAGTCAGTTTCAGGTCCTCCCTCACATCACTGGCTGCCTGTCAAGCTCTCTACACCTGACGCTGTAGCCAAACTTTAGTTATGAGGATTGAAGCAATACATTACAGCAAATTTAAAGCACACGGCAACCTCCCTGGAACATCCCTTATTTCAACACAGAGAGCAGCCTACCCACAGAGCGCCAGGCTCTCAGAGCAGGCCCCCGAAGGCTCCGTGCGCAGCTCTCGGGACAAGCCCAGCGCAGGGGTGAAGGCGAGGGCCCGGTGTCGGTGCATGGAGCGCACCCCGCCCCGGAAAGGCATCCCTCCGTCACTGACTGCGGGGACCCGAGTGCTGTGAGAGCCGTGCAAAACACATCAAACTCAAAGAATCACGGGCACCAGCTCTACAGGCGAAGTTCCCAAAGTCTCCGTTCCCGGGACTCGCAACAGAGCGGGGCGCTGGCTGAACACCCAGCGCAGCCCCGCACCTGGGCGCACTCCGCAGCCCCCCAGCCCCGCGCCCCCGGCCCGGGATGCTGCCCGGGCAGGGCCCCGCTGTGGGGCCGACCGCCGCCCCGGCCCGACCTCCCCGCTCCCAGCACCAGCGGGGCTTCGGGCCCCCCGTGAGCCGCCGGGGTCCGGCCGGGCGGGCGTCAACCCAGCCCCGTCTTCCTTCTCCCGCCAGCTCCCACCGCGCCGTGGTGGCGGGCGGAGGGCTGTGCCCGCCCGAGCCCCGGCCCGGCTCTGCCCGGGACCCCGGTCCCGTCCCGGCAGCCGCTCCCCCTCACCGGCGGCCGCCGCTCCCCGCTCGCCCAGCCCGACCAGCAGCGCCGCGCCGCGCATGCGCCCCGCGCACGCCGCCAACCGCGGACCCGCCCGGCGCAGGCGCGGACGAGGGCGCGGCCCCTGGGAGCGGCGGGGCCTGGAGCGGGCTGGGAGCGGAGTGGCCCCGGCCATGGCCACGGGGTGATCGAGGCCAGGTTGGAGGCGGCTCTGAGCAGACTGGGCTGTGCAAGGTGCCCCTGTCCGCAGGGATCGAGGTGGTCTGCAAGGTCCCTTGTGAGCCGCCCATGCCTGTGGGGTGTATGGCAGCCCCTCCGGACGGGCACACCGCGTGTGTGCTGCCGGCGGGGGGATCTCTTGGGTGCCTTTTCGGCGCTCCACGGCCTTGCAGATCTCTCTTGTAGCTTCTTCCTTCCTCTGGCCTCTTCAGGCTCCTCGTCTTCACCTCTGCCCACATGTTATTTCCTCTCTGTTCAAAACAGGCAGCTTTCCCCTCTTGGCTGTGGGGCAGGTCACCGCGCACAGGAGTCCAGTGCTCTGTCACTCCCTGACCCTCAAAGGGAGCAATTCCGGGGACACAGCGGCTTCTCCTGGCGAGCTCTGCGCCAGAGCTCCTGCAGCGCTTCTGGTGACACACAGCAGGTGGAATCCAAGCACCAGCGTGCCCTCTGTGCTGGTGTGTGCCACATCAACAGGATTTTGTGGACGTTTAATCTACCTACTAAACACCACATGTTAGTAAATGATACTCTGTATGCAATTTTTCTAATGTTTATAATGTGAATAGGCCTGGACAGCCGTGGAAGTTCCACTGGTGCTGAAAAAATGCACATGCACAGCAAGAGCAGGTGCAGCAGGGAGCTCCTCACTGCTGGTCACTGAGCTGAGCACAGCAGGGCAAAAAGCCTCCAACATAATTCTGAACTGATTAAAACATAATATATTTACTCCCTACAATGCTGATGTGGTAAAAATGAAGAATAGTGGTTCAAAGTATATGGCTTGAGAAGAAGTATCTTCCTGCCTTGGGAATTCACACGGGATGTAGACAGGAAGGATATTACCAGTAAAGTAGATGATAAAAAGTAGATAAAAGTGATGCCTGACCCTCTAGCCTATATATCTTTTGTTTTTAATGAGTGGCCAAACTTGGATTGAAACAAATTATGAGTAAGAAAATCATATTTCTTCCAGTAGCAGCAAAGAGGGACATGGTTCAGTCCTAGTTCTCTTGAGACACAACCTAACACTTTGAGAATTTTGTGTTCTGATGCAGAGTTAAGCCAAGCACATTCCCGTGAGCTTACACAGCCTTTGGTAGGAGGCCACAGGGGTAGCTACCTATGTGTGTGTGGGAATTTTTCCCTTTTCTTGTGGATGGCTGCCTTGTGGCCAGCCTGGGCCCACCTGCTGAGGCGTGTCTGGAGACGAGCTCAAGCAC